AAAAACCCCTCAGAGATTGTTAAAAACACCTCTATGCATAGAACTAGAAAACCTAGAAGAAATAGATAAATTCCTGGAAATATACAATTTCCCAAGATTGAACCAGGAAGAAACTGAAACCCTAAACTGACCAATAACACATTTCTAAATTGAATCAGTAATAAAAAGCCTATCAACCATAAACAGCCCTGGACCAGATGGATCCTCAGCCAAATTCTATGAGATGTATTAGAATAACTGGTTTGAATCCTCCTGAAACTAGTATAAAAAATTATGGAGGAGCAACTTCTCCCTAAGTCATTTTATGAGGTCAACATAACTCTGATACCAAAACCTGGCAGAAATACAAAGTAAAAAGAAAACTGCAGACCAATATCCCTGATGAACACAGATGCAAGAATCCTCAACAAAATACTATCCAGCGCACATCAAAAAACTAATCTACCATGATAAAGTAGGCTTTATTCCTAGGATGCATAGTTGCTTCAGCATACACAAATCAATAAATATGATTCATCAAGTAAACAGAACTAAAAATATAAACTACATGATAATCTCAGTAGATGTAAAAAAGGCTGTCAATAAAATTCAACATCCTTTTATGTTAAACCCCACTTCCCAAAAAACTCAGCATTGAAGGAACATGTTTCAAAATAATATGAACTATCTATGACAAACCCAGAGCCAACATCATACTGAATGGGAAAAACTAGAAGAACTGGAATGAGACAAGGGTGCCCATTCTCACCATTGTATTCAACATACTATTTTGAGTCTTGGCCAGAGCAATTTGGCAAGAGAAGGAAAAAAGGCATTGAAATAGAGAGGAAATAAAACTGTCTCTCTTGGCAGATGATATGAGTTTTCACCTATAAAATGCCATAGCTTATCCCCCAAAGTTCCTAGATCCCATAAATAACTTGAGCAGTTTCAGGGTACAAAAATTAATGTACAAAATCAGTAGCATTTCTATATACCAACAATGTTGAAGCTAAACACCAAATCATGAATACAATCTTGTTAGCAATCACCACACTCAAAAGTAAAATACTTAGAAATACAGCTATCCATGGATTTGAAAAGTCTTTACAAGGATTAAAAACACTGCTGAAAGAAATCAAAGACAACACATACAAATGGAGAAACATCCCATGATCATGAATAGGAAGAAACAATATTGTTAAAATGGCCATACTACCCAAAGGAATTTACAGATTCAGTGCTATTCCTATCAAACTACCAATGACATTTTTCACAGAATTAGAAAAAAACTCCTTGGAAATTCACATGTAATCAAAAAAGAGCTCAAATAGCCAAAGCAAACTTTAGCAAAAAGAACAAAGCTGGAGGCATTACAATACCCAACCTCAAACTATACTATAAAGATACTAAAACAGCATGTACCATTACAAAAACAGACACACAGACCAATGGAACAGGTTAGAAAACCCATAAATAAAGCCACACACCTACAACCATCTGATCTTCAACAAAGTCAAGAAAAACATGCAATGGGGAAATCACTTTGTATTCAATAAGTGGGGCAGGGATAACTGGCTAGCTATATGCAGAATATTGAAATGGGACCCCCTTCCTTTTACGAGATACAAAAATTAACTCGATGGATTAAAGACTTAAATGTGAAACCCAAAACCCAAGCCCTAGAGGAAAACCTAGGGAACACCATTCTGGACAGGCTCTGAGGAAGATTTCATTATGAAAACACCAAAAGCAATTGCAACAACAAGAAAAAATTGACACATGGGACCTAATAGAGCTTCTGCACACAGCAAAAGAAACTATCAACCGAGTAAATAGACAGCCTATAGAATGGAAGAAAATATTTGCAAACTATGCATTTAACAAAGGTGTAATATCCAGAATTTGTGAGGTATTTAAACAGATTAACAAGCAGAAAGAAACATCATTAAAAAATGGGCAAAGGACATGAATAGACACTTCTCAAAAGAAGACACACATGCAGCTAACAAGCATATGAAAAAATACTCAACATAACTAATCATTAGAGAAAAATCAAATCAATACCATGAGATTATCATCACATACTAGTCATAATGGCTATTATTAAAAAGTAAAAAAAAACAGATGTTGGTGAGGTTGTGGTTAAAAAGGAATAATGATATGCTGCTTTTGAGGGTGTAAAATAGTTCAGCTGCTATGGAAAGTAGTTTGCATATTTCTCAAAGAATTTTCAGCAGAACTACCAATCCCATTGCTGGGTATATACCCAAAGGAATATAAATTGTTCTACCATAAGAATATGTGCACACGTATGTTCATCGCAGACCATTCACAATAGCAAAGACATGTAATCAACCTAAATACCCGTTGATGATGGACTGGATAAACAAAATCTAGTACATATGTACCATGGAACACTCTACAACCATAAAAAAGAATAAGATATTTTTTTGCAGCAACATGGATGGAGCTGGAGGCCATTATCTTAGGTGAATTAATGCAGGAACAGAAAACCACATGTTCTCATTTATAAGTGGGAGCTAAACATTGAATAGACAGGGACACAAAGAAGGGAGCGATAGACATCAGGGCCTACTTGAGGGTGGGTGGTGGGAGGATGATGAGGACTGAAAAACTACCTATTGGTAGTATGCTTATTACCTCAGTGATGAAGAAATCTGCACACCAAATCCCCATGACATGCAATTTAGCCATAAAACAATGAATTATTATCATTAAACATTAATATAACAAATGCTTTTACAAATCAGTAACAATTACAAAAACACACTGGGTGTTTGTGAGAGGGTTGTAAAATAGGCACCCTCATCTTCTATGGGTGAAAGTATACATTGGTACAAGCTGTCTAGAAAATGATTTGATGACATGCAATATGTATCAAGAGCTTTTAACAGGTCTGTACCTTTGACCTAAGATTCCTTATTTTTTTAAAAAAGGAATATTCTGAAATTCTGATAAAGATTTCTATAGAAAGGTCTCAGTTTAGGGTTATTTATAAAAGCAAAACATGTTCAACAATGTGACAGTAGTTATATAAATTATAGGATTATGCATATGATGAAATATGTACCAATTCAAAGGTTTTTTTTTTTTTTTAAGATATATGGTAAACTGCATAGCTATACATGATATAAAGCAGAATACTGTGTCTAGTTAGTTGTTTATCATCTGTATGGACCAAGAGAGTAGGTCAGGTCCATTAACTGTCTTAGTGGAAAAATGCTTTGGTATTAGAAAATGCTCTTACTTTTTTACTTATGCCAATATTGGGTATATGTGGCCCAAAAGTCTACTCTACAAATCCTTAGCACATATGCATCTCATGATCCAGAAATTATTTGGTGACACCAAGACTCCAGAAATGATTAAAGCATTATCCCTTTTCTTAAGGAGATCACAGTTCACTGAAGAGCCAGGCATGTAAAACATTTTTTATAATAAAGACCCCAGGAGACAGAGATATGAATTGCTTTCAGTACCCAGAGAAGGAAATAACTAACTCTTCTGGGCCAAAAGATTTTTATTCCATGAACAAGGCTCCATGAGGAGGCTGTACACAATCAGGTCATCAACAGAATTAACAGGTAAATAACTATGATTTCTTATGCTTCCAGCCTTGATGGCTCAGCATGGTGAGGGATAGATAAACCTCAATCACCTACTAAATCAATTAAGACTATGTGTTGCTAAATACTAGCTGTTGTTTACTAGGTGATTGCTATATGCCAGTCATCTATGTTAAATTTTTTATTTATATTCTCTTTTTACTTCATAACCCTATGAAGACTGAACTTTTAAAAGGCAAACATTTTTTAAAAGTGTTTCAATGATTTCAGCCTTATAGTTAGAATAACATAAAGTAAAACTCATATCTTGATTATTTGCAAATATGCCCAATTTAAACCTTATTTTAACTTCACATATCCATTTAGAAAATAGGCTAATTGTCGCTGAAATAATTCAGGTAGTTCCATAATAGGAAAAGCTGGAACTTTCTCTTAAAGTCACAGCACACTGATAGAAACACTGGAAAGTCAATCAGATTTTCCATGTAAATGATTTTATGTGTGGGGAGAGAGAGCAGCCGGGGACAATCAGATTTTGAGTGGAAAGGAGAGGTGAAAACCTTTAAACCTTTAACACGAATCTGTGGTGAGCAAGAAGTTTGATCACACAGTAAAAGCCTTTGGGTTGACGGCTCCTTGAAGTCAAGTTCAGAAGTGAAAAACATAAAACAGAGAAATATATTGCAGGACCTAGGATTAAGACTTTGAAATTCACACTTGACAAGTTAAGTCACAGAGCTTTGAGCCCAACTCTGTGCTGAAGTTAAAATGAACATGGCCTCTCTTGTTCTGACATAGGCAAATAAACATTCCTGCCACAGAAGGGGGTGTCAGTATCAAATACACTGCATTTGGTTAAGCCACAGTTAGCAAAATAACATGCCTTCTCTCTTTCAGAGCGGAGAGCTGGTCTTCCACATGGTATTTATTTTACTTACCATAGTGATTGACGCTGTTTATAAGCCGCACTCCCACTTGGGCATGGTTATTAGTCATCAGTACAATATCAAATAAGTCCTGTTCATCGGGATATAGATCACGGAGTCTAGCATTGACATACTGTAGTGCCTGCAGGTTACAAACATGAATGTGTGTAAAGAGGGGCAGGCAAGGTGGGTTTGGGGAGGCCAGAGAGGAAGCAACTCATCAGGGTCAAATTCACGCTCTGAAGAATCCTCATTGAGAGATTCTGCCTCCTTTAGGACAGAGTTATTCCATGCATTTCTGTATTATCAGCCTCTCATACATAGGAACTCAGCTAATGTTCACATACATGAGTAATGTTTGTTGAAAATTTTTACAACTTGGATTCACTTGAATTATCTCTGTGGTGACAGGTAGAGAGCAGGATCAGGCTAACGCTTTTGTGCTTTATGTTTGATTTTTAAAATCTGCTTTTACCAATCATCCAATGATTATTTTTTAATTTTGAAAAATATGGACTACTTAATGAATATGCATGTCATCCTTGTCCAGAACTCATGCAAATCATCTCTGTTTTGTTCCAGTTTTAGTATATATGCTGTCAAAGAGAGCACTTTGTGTATTAACATGTATCTTTAGATTAGGTTTGTGGTTCCTGTGCATCCATTTACTACGCCTCTTAAGTAATTCTACCAACAACTTGTAGAGGTGTCATTTGTTTTTGCATGGTTATGATATTATTGTGTAATATTTGTATTTAGAAGATCAAAGTTGTAAGTGCTGTGTATTTCAGTGTAAGTTAAGAGAACCTTACCTTCTCTATTAAAATCACACCCCTAAGTGCCAACAGCATCTTTATTTTCTAACTATGTTATGTTTGGGGCCAGAACAACCAAAGTGAATTTCACCTCACTGTAATACAGCATTTTATTTCTACTATTCAGGATTATAAACTCATGGCTTCTTAGCACTCCTTTGAGGGAAAGAGCAAAGGCTTCTGTTACTGGTCTCATGATTAGGACTTCACTTAGAGAAGGCTAACATCCCAAATCTAGGGCTATGGGCTGGAGTCCCTTCCTCCACAGCCTGGAAGCCTGTGCAAAATCATAAACTGACCTGGGTCAGCTGGAAGGAGACAAGAATGACAAGGGTGGGCTAGGAATGATCAGGGAAACTGGATGCACTCCCAAGGGTTGGCCTGGGTCCTTCCCTCGCCATTGAGGGTCTGGCAGGCCAAAGACAGCTTTCAGAGTACCTTGACAAAGCGGAACGCGGGACCCGGGGACAGGATGACGTTCTCATTAGTGAGCTGATACTCCATGTACTTTTCCAGACCCTCTTCCTCGTAGACTTTCCTGCCGTCCACCATGTTGAAGAGCGCGCAGGATGAGACAGCAATGGTGATGGCATTCTTGGGTTTGGGCTACAGAGAGGGACACCAACAAGAGGACACAGTCATGTAGACAGGAAGGGGACAGGTTGGGGCTCCTCCAGGGTAGGGTGGGAATAGGACAGCGGGCCCCTGCTTGGAGAAGTGGGATGCTGGAGATAGCCGAGGCTGGGACTCCCAGACGTTTGGGGAGGAGAAACGGGAGACCTGGGAGGACCTCTGCGCAGTGGAGAGGAGGGCAGCTGGAAGAGGCTCTTTTGCGGGCTGCGAGGAGGGGCGCCCCGGGTGCCAGAGGCTGCAGGCCTGCTCACCGGCCGGGGGCGCGAGCAGCTCGGGTTCTTCTCATGGAACGACCTCACGGATGCCCAGTAGGCAGCATCGTAGTCGTCCTCATCCTCCCGCTGCTGCTGCTCGGACAGACAGTCGCGGTCCAGCTGGCCGGAGGCGGGGTAGAGCACCCTGCGCTGGCTGGACGCGCGCTGATATTCCCGCGGCTGCGAGTCCCGGGTCTGGCGGATTTCTCGCATGCCTTGCGCCCAGGCCTCCGGATTCTCTTGCATTTTGGTGCTGCGCCGGGATCCAGGATCCGGCTCTGGGGGCGTGGGAGGCCGCGAGTCCAGTGACCGGGGTGGCTGGGGCGACGCAGGCAGCTGGGGCGAGGCGGGTGGCTGGAACGAGGGCTGCGCAGACGGTGGCGGCGAGGAGTCTTGCAGGCTGGGGGAGGTGGATGGAGTTCGGGAGCTCGCAGAGCTGCTGGGGAGCTGCAGCAAGACAATGGGCGTCTGAAGGTCTTGCGGCCCGCCCGGGGTCCCTCTTGCCAGCTCTGCCCAGCTCCCATCAAGGATCTGTCCCTTCTGCCTATTCCGTTCCTAGACCTCGGATGGATGCTGGTTCATCTCAGCTCCTTAAGTAGGGCTTAAGGGGCCCGGCCATTTCTAGGCCTCAGCTGTTTCATATTTCTGTTAAACAGACACAGAGACTGTCTGCTTTCATTCTCCCCTAGCTTCCCCATCAGCACTTCATACATTGTTATTTGTTTTGAGTAGATAGGACCCAGTCCTCCTCCTCCCGCTTAGGCAGCTGACACATGGTTTGCAAAGTCCTGTCCCCTGCTTGCAATGTACCTGCTCAGTTAGAGGCCTGCAGGTATGACAGAGGGCTTGCGAATGGATCTTGCTGGGCCAGTGCCTTGGTGTGGAACCTCCAGTTAACTCCATGAACAAAGTGGGCCAGACATTCCTACCAGAACACTCTACATAGCACCTCGGGGCATGTAGCTCCCGAATCCCCATGTGAATGATGCACTGAGAGCTGGGAAGGTCCCTTGGCTGGAGACTGGAGCGTCTCCCCAGGGCCTTCAGAGCTCCTCATGCCAGTGGAGCACAGTTACATAGAATCATCTTCCTAAACAGGAAAGGACCATTCTAGAAAAAAAACCTTTTACTAAGGTGAGCAAGAAGTTGTTAGGCATCCATATATTATTTCAGATTGTTTCACACACGACTCAAAAAATGATGTTTTTGTTTAGATCATTGAGTTAAATCTGATAGATGATGTTTTTGTTTAGATCATTGAGTTAAATCCGATAGAGATGATGGATTGGGTAGGAATGCATGTTCTCCCACTGGCTGTGTCTGGTTCATTCTCTCTGCTTCCAACATCTTAATCTCAAAACTAACTTTTTCTTTTTAATTTCTTATGTCGTCAGGCCGAATTAAAGACCCAAACCTCCACACAATCTGACACTCTTTAGTTTTTCTCTTGTGGTGACCATTTCCTTCCCTTTTCTGAGAATCAATAAATATTTGTTGATTGTTACTCAATAACTGTTGAAGGAAGGAAGGAAGGATGGAAGAAGTGTACTGCCTCTAGATCTAGAGCCCCTGGGTTTTAATGCTAGCTCTACCACTTTTTAATTTGAAACCTTAAATAAGTTTACTCTGTACTTCAGTTTTCTATGGTAAAATGGGATTTTTTTGAGGAAGGGAGTTCTCGTGAGGGCTAAATTAGCTAACACATGTAACGCACACAAACAGGGACTGGCACATTGCTATTATTCTATCATCTACTCCTCCCGTTCATCATTATCTCTACCTTAGCACTGGTGTTCCTGCTTCTAGGCTCATCTACTGATGGAGCCCTGGTGGATGGGCTCCCGGATCTTCGAGACCATTGACTGCGTACAATGTACCCTCGAGAGTCTGTCTTCGGCAGTGATAATTCTTGTGATTCCTGTGATGGAAAGAAGAAACCCAAGGGTGTAAAACCCCACCACCAACTCCTTCTATGCATGTGCCTGCAGTATAGTCATGTCAGGCTGAAGATAGCAACACTCAGTGAGAAGCTCTCTGGCTTCAATGACTCTTAACTCAACCTGAGCTCTTGTGTACTATTCTAATTCTGGTCTAGTCCTCCTGTTTGGAGCATCTACGTGGGGTCCTCTTGAAAGAGCATCCAAAACCAAGATGCAAACTGAGTAACATATTTTTTCTCTTGACTCCTCTTATATGGAACTTAATATGGTCATCATTGTTCCTCCCTTTTCTTCACTTCTTCCCTCTAGGATAAGCCTGCTAACAGATGCTGAAACGATATATCCACCATTTTTACCAGACTGTAAAGGTGAGGGCAGCTGGTGCCCTACTGAGGTTGCAGGGGGACTCTAAGGCAGCTGATTCAAGGGAATGGAGCCCTCAAGCTTTCCTTTCAGGAGAGGCAAGAATGAAAGAGACTGGGTGTAAGCAAGTAAAAGAGTTTCTATTTGCCATATCCTTCCCCTCACCCAGATTGCCTATGGTTCCCCTCCAGAATCAGTAGTGTGATCTCTGCTCACCCTCATCATGGTGATCTGCTGGCCCTGCGCCCACAACAGGCACATGTGAATATAAATACGTATTGTGCGGCAGGGGCCAAGGGCTGTTCCCTCAGCTGCACAAAGGCAGCGTCTACACGACGAGTGACCCCGGAAGGGGCAACATCTCAGCGAGTGATTCGGATTGACTGCACGCCTCATCTGAAAGATTGTGCAGAAAATGGTCAATGTGATGGCCAGACAGCCCTCCCCTCCCTGATTTGAACAAAGACCAGTCTCCTCCCAGCATAGGCTGAGCAGAGGAGCCCGCTGTGGTTCCACACATTCTAAGTGAACACGTGGGTATGGATGGAGGGGAAGGCAGGGCCCAACCTCTTCTAGTTGTTCCTCAACCTTCTCATGAGGACCTTAGGGATGCCTTAATACAATACTCAACAGCTTGGTCTTCTCTCCCAGAACTCCCTGCCCCAACATTTTCCATTATGCTTTCTGCTCCTTAATTTCCTCACCTCTGCTACAGAGATCAGCTCACCTGACTGCTAAGACGAACTCCCGTTTTGTCAGATTCCTTTCTTTTTCCTGCTTCTAGACTTTCTTTTGAGGACCTCATTCCGGGCTCATTCTTGACATGGAAACAAATAGTATTTATTAATTTTTAATCTCAGGACATTCGGAATCTTGGCTTTAGAAATAAAAAGATAAAGAAAACATAGAATTTATTTCTTTGCCAATATAAAAAGATATAAACTCTAGACATTAGCTTCCCCGTTTCTAACAAGCATGAGTAAAAAATTACATATATTTTATTAAAAAGTATTGTATAAACAATGTTTTTTTTGAGACAGAGTCGCATTCTGTTGTCCAGGCTGGAGTGTGATATCGGCTCACTGCAACTTCTGCGTCCTGGGTTCAAGCCATTCTCCTGCCTTAGCCTCCCTCCCGAGTAGCTGGGACTACAGACACATGCCACCACACCTGGCTTATTTTAGTGTATTTTAGTAGAGATGGGGTTTCACTGTGGTGCCCAGGTTGGTTGTGAGTTCCTGTGCTCAGGCAATCCACCTGCCTTGGCCTCCCAAAGTGCTAGGATTACAGGCGTGAGACTCTGTGTCTGGCCAATTTTTAAATAGAAATTTGTTGGTTCATAGATTTGAGATATAAAGCATTTATTGTATAAAGATTGATAATGTGGGAAATATTGTGAGAGAATTTGTCAGGGTTCAGTAGGACTTGGATTTAAATGCGAAGTTGTTTACATAGAATAAATCTGTTTTTTTGTTTTTCTCTATTATTCTGAAGATTGCTACTTATGGAACTTATTTTTCCTTGCCATTTAGAATGGAATATTTTCTTGCTTTCTTCATCACTGTCACTCAAATTTTCTGTGAGGCTAGCCTCACCGATATTAGTTT